TTTGTCCTTTCAGGTAACACCACAGAATTAATGCTTTGATTACAGCCCTGGTTTGCAGTCCCAAACTTGGAGAAGCAAATGAGGCCCACAAAAGGGCAACACAAAACTGTTCCACCAGTGTTTCTATAAATAATGCCTATACCAGTGCACAAATCTCTGGTATTCGAAAGAAAAACTACAAAGACTTAATTATGGCAATGCAGCAGCCTTCCTCCACAAATTCAACCTGAAGTGTGTTACTGCCCCCCATACTGATTACATGTTCCAGAAACTGAACCTCAGAGCACCAGAACAATCCAAAATACTTAGAGACTATTAGACTTGTATATACAAAAGACTTCATCATACAGACAGGCACCCTGGAGATTTATTTCATGCTACTTTGCTTTCAGAAATCTCAGTTAAAGAAAGATTTATACCATTTTCACTGGTTTTCCCTGATGAAAATCTTTCTTAAAATAGGGTATAAGAGCCTTTGGTAGAAGTTTTAGCCATGGGCTGGTGTGAAGGGAGAAACACATCCAGGAAGCAAAGTTACTAGGACAGTGATGTCCTCTTGAAAAGTGGCAGCAGAAATCAGAGTGGGAAAAGTCTTTTTCAATTCTTATCTCAGTAAGGGCTGAACCAAGCAGGACCTGAGAGGTTAAATCTGGTATATCTGCTAGAGATGGGCCCAGTAAAGAATAACTTCAGTTCTGAAATTCACTCAAGAAGAGGTCACTCTGCACATGATGAAGGAGTTTATGGAATAAAATTGAAATGAGGGGAGCACAGAACACACAGCTTGAGATCAACACGCACAGGATGGAAAAGGACAGTTAAATATCAGAGTGACAGAATACAAGTCTTTCCCACATGGATATTCACTGCCTTCCAGGCCATGTTCTGGAAGCTCTGAGCCCCATGGAGCCCTCCCTGCTGTCCAGCCCCAGAAGATTTGAACACCCCCTGCTATGGCTCTCCCTCTGAAGAACACACCCAGCCAGGGGTGCTCTGCTCTGGCTGCCTTTGGGAAGCCCAGCTCTTCCCAATGGCCAGGGACCAACAGCAAGCTTCTGATTTCTTTCCAGCTCCAAGCTGATCCCACAGGTGACAGGGTCACTGTCCCAGCTAAGCCCATCTAGCACAAGTCCTAAAGCTTCACCAGATCCAGAATCAACTCTGAAGCTGACCCCCTGCACGCTGCAGAATCAGGGGTGAACAACCAATGGCACAGGAGGCAGGGGCTGCAGCAGCCCCATCAGCCCTGGGATGAGCTCTCTGCAGCAAGCCCAGCCCCACTCCCACCGTGGTTTGCCAGCCCAGCACAATGAGCACAGCAAACAGCCAGATGTGCTGAGCAAGGCAAAGAACGACTTGCTTTGCTTGTCACCTCCCAGGGCTCCTCCAAGCCTCAGTTCCTTTGATGTTCTGCCCTCCTTCACCTAACACATTGCATTCTGAAGTATTTACCATTCAGTATTTTGGTTCAGTTTCTCTTTAAAGAGGGTTGATCCTGCTAAGGATCTATCTGCTTGTGTCACTGGGGACATTTCATTACTGGCATGAGTGGTTATGTACAACTGCCTGCCCCCAAGGCAGCCCACCAATGCTGCTTTACAGCCCCTCACTGCATTCCTAAGCAAGAGGAAAAATAGTGGATATACTACTCCAAAATCAACTTCCACTGCAGTCTTGCTCAAGGTAATAATTTTTCAGAAATGGCAATAATTCAATACAGCAGCTTGGATAAGTTTAGTCACAATATCACTGAACAAGGAACAACCAGCTCAAGTCTGAAATCCAGCTCCCCCAAGCAAGGCCAAGAACACCCCATTTAGGAAGTGTTTGTAGAGCCTGGGGTTTCCCCCCTTCCTTATCAGAGTTTGGAAAAATTCTACCACCACCATGACAGCTATTACAATGCCATCAGCTGCCTCACTCATGCATATGCACACACAAATTCCAAAAAAACTTCCAGATGGGTCTTACCATGGTTATCTTGTTGTAATTATTTCAGCATTAACACCCAGGAGGAGGAACAGCACCTCTGAAGGATCCAGCTGCCCCAGAAGCCCTACAGAGCACACATCCAGGCACCAGCTGAACCTGCAGCCACACTCACGTGCCAAAACCACTGCTGCCTTCCAGATTCACCTGAAGAATCCAACTCTGAGCAGTTTCAGAAGACAAACCAAAGCCAGGCATCAGCAACTGTGTTTTAGGTGAAGCCTTTACAAACAGTGCTTCCTGCTGGACATCCAGGACTCCAGAAACAGCTTTGCCATTTCAACCAACATTCCAGAAAGTCACTGTTTGCCCCCCTCCCTCCCTCCCTCCCCAGCTCACTCTGCATGGCTGTGCAGGCCCAAGCCTCACTTCCAGGTGCACACTGGCACTTCCTGAGGGAGAGCAGAGCACCTGAGGCTCAGAGCAGCACAACCTGACACCCTGTAGCACACTGAACGTCAGAGACACCACTGCTTGCAACAAGATCGTGCTGCATCTCTTCCCTGCTACTACAGACTGGTTCCTGCCTTGAGGAGGAACTCAAGGCCTTCCTTAAGGGATGCCACATTGCCCCTGAAAACCTACAGCCAGCTGGGGGTCACCTCCCTGACACCACGACAGAAGCAGGTGAGGGGAACAACAGGTCGGGGAGACTCACACTCCATTTACCCTTCTGTGGGATCAAGTCCATTCTGTCAGTGCTTCTCACGTGCTCAAAGCAAAGGGCCAAAGTTGGGGCTGTTTTGCTAAAGCTGCCCTCCAAATAAGGCCAGCTGACACCAAAGGAGGCTGTGGTTTGTGACCTCTGCCCATCCCACAGGCAGCTGACACGTCTGCAATGCACCCAGCAATGTTTGGGGCTAAGGCATCCAAGGTAGAGACTGGAAGCAGCAGGAGCTGAGGGCTCCAGCTCTTTGCTGGGCACAGTAAACAGCCCCAGTAAAATGTCAATTTTATTTCCAATTCCTCAACTGCCACTGACTTCACTTTTAGGTCTTCACTCTATCACTAACTTCACTTTGAGGTCTTTCACACAAACCACTCAGCCACCCCAAAATTTTGAAGCACCATGAAGAAAGAAATACTTGCCTTTAAACAACCCAATTTTTCACAGGAATTACAGCACAAATGAGCCCTAAGGATATCCCTGAAGTTTTCCTGACAGCACTGGGAAGTTACAGCACCAATATCTAGAAGAGGGCTGAAGTTCCAAGACATGAAGCTCATTTCTCAGAGTTGAAAACCCACATGGGATCTCAAGGCAGATCTGTACACCACCAGCTATTCAGGCTGGAGACAAATGCAGAACACTTGCAGTTATTTCTGAGGCAATTCAGCATCTAACAGGTTATTTTGAGAGAAACATGACATGACTTTGATTCAGCCAGTGAAAGCTACTACGAGACACTGACACATTGAAGTATCTGGGGTTTCATTCTGCCTCACAGCATTTGATAAGCACTAATCTGGCTGTTTGGATCACGTGCTCTGCAGACACCATCCACACCGACTGAGAGCCCAATCCTGCTGTATCCATCACAATTCCCAGCAGGAAGCCACCAGGGCAGGAAGAGCCCTCACAGCCCTTTGAGCTGTGCAGGTGAGCAATCTCAGGCTCCATGCTGGAGCCGGTTCCTCCACAGAGACAATTCCTCTTCCCTGTCCCTTCAGCCCTGCCAGGCTCCTCCAGCAGCCCAAAGATCCCCTTCTCCCAAGTTACTCCTTTTTTCCAGGTTACTTGCCAGCAAAGCACTGCACAGCCACGTTCCTCCTACTCCTGCAAGCTGACAACACACTTCTCTCCATCATCCTGGCTTGCATGTAGGTGGAATGAGATCTGAGATAAAATATTGTATCCTCTATTTCAGAAGCCTGGGCAGGCTCCATTTCTGTCTCCTCCAGCTGCAGATGGCCATTTTCATGGAAAATAAATAAATAAAATGAAATGAGAGCTTATCAAGCTGACCTATTCCACTTTTGTGGTGTCATTTGTGGGTTGCATGGCTTGTTCCTTGAGCAGGTTAACATTGATATTTTAATAATTGCTGTGGCAGCCAGTTCATGCATTAGACACTAACAGTACCCAGACAGGCACCTACAGCACTGCCAGTGAGAGAATTCAGCCTGGCTCTCCATTTATCATCTCTACAACCTGAAGTGGGACAAGAGCACCTTTCAGTGCTGAGACAGATCACTGCTGGGGCACCTCTGGCCTTCCCCAGGCTCCAAAGCAGGCACAGAACCTGGTCACTGAAACACTTCAGAACCTCATGCCCCGCCTCCACTTATCTGCACAAAGTTTCAACACTTCCAGCCCAGTATTTCCTGTGCTAGGAAAGAAAGCACCACTTCTATCTCTCAAGCCCACTGTAATCAGTAACAGCTGAAGCAAAGCAGGTATCAGATGTCAGCCTCCTCCCCTCCAGTTTACAAGCACTCCTTCATAAAACCTCCTTCATCTCCACCAAAAAAGTTCATTTCCTAATACCACATGCCTTAGCAGCAGACAAAAGGCATCTCAGCTCTTTATCTGAAGCTCAGAGCACGACAGGTACTACAACAAACCTGTCACAGCTACTTCCGTCACGCTGCCAACCCTTCCCAGCAGACTCACCTTTATAGTATAAATAATATAAATATGCTTTTATATTCACCAGAAAGCCAAGCTGTGCTTCCACTCAGCACTACCTGACATGATTCACTAGGCAAGTTCTTTTCTTCTAAAAGAAAGCTTTATTGCACATGGCTACATCACACAAGAAAACAAACAGGTGAAGCACACAGAAAAGTGCCTACAAGACCTGAAGTCTGCAAGAGTTACAAGCTCACACCCAACCTTCCCACAGCAAGGGAAGTGTGCACAGAAAGGAAAGAAATCAGTTTCCTGTATAAAGTTGTGAAGAAACACCAGGTCTCATCTGCTGATCAAGAAAACATTCTCTAAAAGAGCAAGAGCAGGAACAACTTCAATGCACAAACTTCAACTCCACGTTGGGGGGCAAAGCACTTACCGGGGAAGGGCAACATCTGCTCACATCCCAGCGAAAGAACAGGACTGTTAAAAGGAACACGGGGAAGAGGCGTAATTAAAGCCCCAAAACCATATA